GGTATATATAGTATACGAGCTGTTGCCCGCGACTTCGTCCTCGTGGTATTAGAAAACATAAGAACTATATATATAACAAAAAGCTGCGTATCCCTCGGGAACCGGACATTTCTCGGGGATGAACCTCATCCCATGTGTACTCTAGACTTTGTTTTATGTCTGTGCCAAATTTCAAAAGGATATGTTGAACTGTTGCAGAATTATCGAGTAAACATTAAAAAACTAAATTAATGTAACTATTCCCGGGATAAAAAGTACCCTATGTGTTCTTCCAGACTATGCCCTAAACCTGTGCCAAATTACATGGAGATCCGTTCAGCCGTTTTGGCTACAAACGCTAACTTCCATCCATCCATCCATCTAAACTTTCGCATTTATAATATTAGTAAGATTACTATATATGTAATACTAGCTTTCTCCCGCGACTCCGTACGCGCGGAATTACAGAAAACAAATACAATTAGCCTATGTATTCTTCCGGACTATCCCCTAAATCTATTTAATATGCTATATTATTATTCATGTATAATAGTTATTTGAAATGCTGGAGATAAACGTAATAAAATTATATTTCAGGAGCAAATTCTTCGGAGACAAGTCCGGCGAATACAGTTAAAACGAAACCAAAACAAATAGAGGAAAAAGTAAGTAAAATCGTCGCAAAATATTTAAATAAAACAATAAGATATTTAATCTAAAGTTTGATGTCTAATTTGATCATTTTAACTTCTAATGACTTCGACATCTAATATATCTAGATATTCGTGTAGAAATTTTAATCCATAGACAATACAATACTGTACTAGTAGTTAATAAAATTATTGTTTAAAAAAAAAATCAAAGCAATTCTTTATATTCATATTAATTTGTGCATTATACAGGGTGTAGGCGAGCCAGTGTACGCGGCGACGACGTGCGTAGTGCGCGCTGTGATGCGGCTGGCGGCGGCGGCGGGCGCGGGGGGCGCGCCGGGCTCGGGGGGCGCAGGGGGTGCGCCGGGCTCGGGCGGCGCGGGGGGTGTGGCGAGCACGCTTCTCGCCTGCGTGCGCGCAGTGGGTCACGACCTGCGTGCCCTCTGTGCTACTGTTGACCTCATCGTTGTGCCGTATCCACCCTCCGCACAAAGGTATACCAGTTTACCTGAACATACCCTTTTTGTAGTACAACTATATATACTATATAACCCCAACATACTCTTTTTTAACACACCTCTGTATACCAATTTCCCCCTACATATATATACTTTACTTATCTACATTATAATAAAGCGTTAACACACACTTCTTTGTTGCCTAAGGTGTTAGCAATTACAGCATACTTTGAATAACTCTTTTTTTTTAAACGCCACGCTTTAAGCTATATATTTTCACGCCATTAAACTTTGGGGGTAAATATTTTGGGTAAAAACCCTAATATGGGAAAGAGACCACAAGTTTCTACCAACATCAAGAAAGAAAGATTGCTTAGCTATAAAAGATTGTTTGTCATGTCATGTCATTTTGACATTTGCTATTGATAATTTGACAAATGTAAATAATAAAATAAAATTTTCATAATTCCATGCCGATGAACCCGCACGGGAACAGCTAGTCCTTATATAATTCTGAGATATATGAACATACTCAATTTACATACCGTGAATTAAATTATAACACGACATAGTAGTGACATTTGATGACCTTGGGGCAAGATATTTCAAAACACACATTTTACATGTAAAATCATTTTTTTTATACACAATTTTACAGAAAATGGTTGAATTTCAGCCTGTTCATTTAACATTACATTGAATGTGTGTACGTGTGCAGGGAGGTGGAGATGGCGCACCAGGTGCTGAGCAAGGACATGGCGGCGCTGGTGGAGGCGATGCGGCTGGCGGTGCGCTACGCCGACACCACGCTGCACCACGAGTACACCAAGTTAGAACATTTTGCATATTATTACCTCTCGCCCCTGACTCTGTATGCGTGGACAAAAAAAATGTAGTCTACGTGATATTTCAGAGTATGCTCTGCATCAATGCCAAATTTCATCGAGATCAGTTCAGTCGTTTAGGCTACACACTAACAGACATCCATCCATCTAAACTATCGCATTTATAAAATTAGTAAAATAAGGTGGCAAGCGAACGGCCACCTTAATTCGCCGAAAAGTCGAAGCGACTGCCGCCCAAAGACATTCGCAGTTGCAGATGTATTGCCTAATCTTAATTGACAGAAGAGGCCATGTAAAGAAAATATTTCCCCTTATACTTCTCCACCATCAAATCCATTTTCCTTTCCTTATAAGAAAAGGGTGGGATGTCTTCTATTAAAAACTTGACCGTCCTTTAATATATTTAAATGTATATTATCCCAACATATTTTAGAAAAATGTGTAAGATTTATAATATCGGCGATTTTCTATGTTTAATTCAATAATATTCTTATGTAAAGCATTTAAACCTTTTCTTTGTCCCCAGGAGTATGCTCGCAGCGGCACACGTGTTGGCAATGGATGCTAAGAACCTTCTAGATGTGGTAGACTGCATCCGTG